TATAAATAATTATAAAAATATATTTTAAGTCATCATTGTCTTCTTCTGACAGCTTTGGCTTTTCGTCGTTCCCCAGCTGGTTCTGTTCCAATACTAAATAATGCCTGATTTGATCCTTGCATTCCTAAAAACNAATGCCTGATTTGATCCTTGCATTCCTAAAAACAGAAAATAATTTCAATTAACTATTATATTTTGAAAATTAGATTGTTAATTTTTTCTATATACCTGGCTGTTGCTGTGGAGGCGAACTAAAACCAAAGGCTCCTTAAAAAAAAAAAATTATATAAAGTTTGATAACCTATAAAAATTGTTTTGAGTGGAATTGAATTTCAAAAATTGATTATTGTGAGTTGACATAAAATCTTAAATTTTAAAGAAATAGTTTATCTTCATTTTTAAATATATTATAACAAACAATAACTGATTATACTAAATATTTGTCAAAAATATTAAAAGTTTCTAAAAATAAGTAGAAAATTTATGATTGATTTTTTTAAAGTATTATGAAACAGATATTTCATTGTATTAGTCAAAATAACTTTTATTTAAAAATAAAAATATAATTATAATAAATAATTAAAAAAAAAAAATTATAATATTACCTCGAGGTTGTCCTCCGCTGAATTGCTGAGGTGATGACAAACCTGGTGCTTGTCCAAACTGGAATGGTTGTGCTGCAGCAGTGGTCGAGCCAAAACTAAAAGCTCCTTCAGGTTTTGCAGGTTAAGAAGCAGCATTAAAAGCAAATGTAGATGGGTTATTAGATGTAGAGGTGTTTGAATTACCAAATTGAAAACCTCGATTGGCTGTAGTCCCGAATGTGTTGGTTGAAGTAGGAGCTACGCTACCAAATGTATAAAAAAAATACCCTCTTTAACAGCATTATTCTTTTTTTGTTCTATTTTCTCAATACTTGTGAAAGGTGTAGGTTCTGGCTCATCAAATACTTCATCTAATACACTTTTTATACTAATTCTTTTAAAAACTTGTGTTTTTCCACTTCTATTGAATATTCTACTGGGTGCAACTATTACAAGATCTCCAGCTAAATCAGTTTCTATAGATTTGTCAATTTTAATTGACTTATTATTATCATCGGTTAATANAGATCTCCAGCTAAATCAGTTTCTGTAGATTTGTCAATTTTAATTGACTTATTATTATCATCGGTTAATAATACTGTTGAACCACAACAAGTACAACTTTTACAATGTTTTCGGCAAGGAGAATCATCACCCTCTGGGTCTAAAAACATTAAAGAAATTTTTTAAAACAAAAAACTTTTTATTAATTTAAATATTAAAATAATTTTAGTAAACTAACCAATAGGATATGTTTTTTTCTGTCTTGATGACTGAAGAAATTTGCTTGAACTATAAGAACTCAAAATTTCATTATTGCGAGTTATAGGTTTTTTATATGAATGATGACTATTAACATCAGTATCACTCTGTCTCTCATTTCTAAAATGAAAACAGAATACATATTAATATTTAATCACGCATAATTATTAATTAGGAACTCAAAAATAGCTCATTATTGCCAAAATCTGCTTCCAAATTAGATCTATTCACAATTCATACAGATTAATATTGTTTATTCGTATTACACGTATACTATGCAATGACTGTTACTTAAAATAAAAGAAAGATTAAATTTAAAACGTTGTAATGTACAATATTTTTTGGTGATTAAATTATAAAAAATGCATTACAGTACAGATGTGATTTACCAATATGTATTGAGTCTGTTGCCTATGTGTACTTCTATAGAAGATTATATAGAGTCTAATTTAGGTGACATAAATTTTTACCCTCTTTCAAAAAGTTCAAATATGCCCGGCACACATACACACACACACGATAACATTTATCAGACGACACATTTTCTCGTAGTACTTTTATTAAATAAGTTTTTTTGCTATCGAAGTTACTGGAGGGGCTGAGAAAAAGTTTTGACTTTTTCTCTTCGGTATTACAACCATACTGTATTCTGGTCGTGTATCATATCATTTGTGATATATAAGTAAATATGAGTTCTAGAAGACGTTATTATTAATAAAACTTAACGGTGATCCGCGGATATATATCATCACGCTAAACTTTGTTTAGCTTTTTCTTTGCTTTTATTTTTGATTAAAGGCTACCGGATTTAAACAGTATTCTTTTCTTCGGACATCGTTTTCATTTCGTTAAAGGTTAGGGGCAACTTTGGTGGTGTTGGTAATAATATTTTGTAATAAAAACCCACCGTAAAACACAGGTTCCCTAAAACCAATATTACTTATGGGTACTATGTTCTATGGACCCTCAGTAAGTGGTAAGCGAACATAAAAAAAATAGTACTAAGGGGTGAATGAAAAAGGAAACAAATATTGTTCCTCAATAGATGTAATGCAATTTCACACGCCCTCTATTACTTGTCATGAACGAGACAAAGCATTATTTAAAATCGCAGAAAAATTCAATTTGTTCATAACAACTTTATTTGGGTGATTGATTTATGTGGGGTAAATTTTCATGGGAGTGTAACAGGAACATCGACATTTTACTCATTTATAGTTTGCCAAAACCCTCGGACCACTTGTTGTATTTCGTATAGAAAACAAGTACTTCCGATTTTTATCAATTTAATAAGTCATTAATTAAATATAATCGTCTTAAACATATAAAATCAAATATTAATTGAAGAGTTGATATGATTATTGTACATGCTAGAAAACATTCAAGTGTTTCATTGAAAATTATATTATAGAATTATTTTAATCTGTAATATAAGTGACAAATTCTTATACATAAAAGTTTTGATAATACATATATTTCCTCAACATAATCGTTTTAAAATATTTTATAACTATTTTATTTAGTCCGTGTAGTAATTTAAAAAAAAGTTATATCTCATCTAGACCTCAGCTGACAAAATCAATAACATCTAAGTGGACTTTCTCGTGAAGGGAAATAAGTTATACATTATTGATTTCGTAAATTTTTCGCTGGAGTCAATTCATTGGATTATCTTGTTATCAGATTTAATGATATTTACAATAGCATATTGAGTACAACAACCGTCAACACGAACAAATGTGCCCACGGATATCCATAAAAATGAATAAATTATAACGATTTCAGATTAAACCCTGGACTATTGCAAAATACTCTTATAATTTGTAACGTTTATTTTGACTGTATTTTTATAATTAATTACATTTCATTTTATTACAGACGATTAAGTTATTGCATGTTTAATATACATTATATATATAATAACATATAAAGTACTTGAATCAATGTTACATTCTGTACAGTATGTGACTTTAAGATAACACGCTTTATCTTGGTAGATAAAAATTTTTTTGTTAATTAAAGACAGTCAATATAGTTTATTTTCATAACTTGATTAATTATTAGTTCAGATTTATTAAAACATAAGCAAATCTTAAGAGAATATTATTGAATACAAACTCAAATACCACAGATTTTGGTTAATTCTGTAAAATTTGTTAGAAAATAAAAACAAGTAATACAACGTTACAAAGATTATATTTCAACTATTAATTTTAATTAGTAACAACAGAAATAACTCCCATCATGATCTCGAAGGCTATACAAATTAATGCAATCGTAAACATATATTATATGTATAAACTATTAAAGAGCTAAATGATACAGATTATGAAAAAAAAAAACATTTTATTGGGTACATCAAATAAATAAGTTTTATGGAAAAGCGTTTATAAAAAATTATCAATATACTTAAATGATTTTATTTTTAATATAACAAATAATATTTTGGCTCAAATGCAAAGCATAAAAAGTTTTGATCATACTGTAATATGATAACTTTTTATTTTATTGAAACTCTAAGCTAAAAATTTCAATTTTTTAGTATAAATGAAAAAGTTATGCCTAAATAAATTACAAAAATCAATTTTATTTGTCATACGGGTTTAGTTTCTATTTACTATTATTATTATTGTTTACTTTGACTGTTTTTTGTGATGATAAGTTTTTATTGAGCATGTTGGGTTTTTAAACTGCAGCAGGAGTATATTATTAAAATTTATTCAAAGTTTTTTGGACATAATCTAACATAAGAAAACTAATTTTTTAGATAATATCAGTATGTTTTTTTTGGATAACATAAATCATACGTTGCGATTTATGTAAGTAAAACTGAACAAACAAGTATTCATTATAAACGCAAATAAAATTTGAGTATTCATGTATACACTTAATGATTGAATAAATGATTAAAAATACATTTCTAAATGTTTATCTATAACAATTGATATGGATCTGACACCTCAAATTCTTATTAATTATGCACATAATTCAACATGACCAAACTCTTTTTGACACATTCAGTGACTGGACAAAAAAAATATGTTTTGCATAAATTCGAACATTTTCAACTATTCTTAAAAAATTGAGTTCTAAATAGTCATTTAAATTTTAAATAAAAATACAAACTGGTTTCGGTTAATTTAAGATGATATTTTAAAGTCTAATTTTTTAAATAATTAAATATATTTTGAAAATAAAAAGTGTATTTGATATTGATTACACAATTTCTCTTATTTATTTATTAATATTTATATTGATATTTCAAATACGATATTTTGTAATTATGTGATAATAGTTTCGAATTTTATATTTATTGTGACGTTGATTATAATTTCCTAAAGGTTAAAAAACTTTCGTTAAGCACCAAGTTCTTGATAATTCCTTGAAATTCCAAAAAAATATTTCCAAACTAGTTTGTTAAATATTATTATTACCTAGAGTGAAATTCATATTTAGTATAATTTCCCGTCATAATTAAATAATTATCATAATGATAAATAAATTTTTGTTAGATTTCTTAATTTCAATCATGTGCACATACACTAGCTTGTGATTGAATTTTTAAAACTTGACTGATAACTCCGTAGTATTTACAATTTATTATCTTGTATAATTCGATTATTTACTTGTACTGACTTTTAAATATAAGTATAATATGTGCTAACTAGGGAAAGTTTACATTATCGAGTAAGAGAACTTGTAATTTCACCGGGATAACATATTTATAAAGAATTAACGGCCTATTCCCACAACTTCGCAATACTAGAGTATTTCATATAGTAATATAAACAATCTAATACGGTACTGTGGTTATGACCCGGTCAAATGGCAATACAGTTACGCAACAAACCTGAGGCGATCAGACTGCGTGTACCTGTATAAAATAAAATTGCAGTTCAATTATTCTTATAATCTTTATTACATGGAATAGTCAAGATCGCTGACGAAAATCTATCGCGGGGGAGTAGAAATAATATTAATCATTAGGCCAAAATAAAACCATACAACAATGTTACTGTGCTAATGATCGATTGTTAATATGTCAGACTGTGGGTCAGTAGCCTATTTTAAAGAACATAATATGCGTAAGAGAGGAACTAGGATTAATAGAGAAAACACAACTACACGATTATGAACGTTGGGCGCGGGTGGATGTCAATTGAACTTAGCCAAAACGAATATTAATGTTATACAAATGAGATATTGCGATGGCGGATAATGTTTTCTCAATCCGTTTCGCAATTCATGTATTTGCTAAATAAATACAAACAAATAATAAATCTTTGTGGTATAATACGCAGAAACACTAGACATTTGTTTTCATCACTACTACATGAAAAAAAAAATAATTAAACCTTAACTAATATAAATCTTTATTGAACCTGGAAGGCAAATTGAATTTTTAATTAAAAATATTTAAAACTTGACTTTTATATTTGACAAAGGGCATCTGTTACATTTGTTTTAAAATACTCGAATAAACGTTGTTTTAGAAATTTCAGTAT